GCCCACAGTGACAGGAAACACCAGAACCCTGTACAAAAACCTGCAGTACTCCACAGCGGCCACTAGAGGGCCTCTCTACTTCAATCCCTTCCTAGGTTTGAGTCTGGTTCTGGTTCTGGTTCAGTGTCTGGCTGGTTTCCTTCAGCAGTGTTTCCTTTGTGCTGATTGGTCAATGTGTTTATCTCTCCCTGTTTCTTAGCATTCAGACCTGACAGTTTCAGCTACTGGGCTGCACATCAGTCGCTCCAGGTAGCAGCAGCTCTTCGGTTCATCAGGATGTTGCTGCTGAAATGGTTCTCCAGTGGTTTCCTTTCACTGCGTTTCACCTAAAGCTGTTCTTCTCAAATACTGGGGCGCGACCCCCAGGGTGGCACGAGCATCAGGAGTTTATACTGTCTTTATTAATGTCTTTATTAAACAAACCTCCGGTCACTAGGTGGCAGCAGCATTCAAACTAATCAACAGGCTACATGTTAAAGCCAGTAGAAGTAGCCACAGCCCTGTTGTAAACGGAGCAGAAGAACAAAAATGGAGCGAAGGATACAAGCGTGGATGTTTTGAAGTATATCTACTATGGAGGACCAAAACCGACATAAGAAATGAAAGAATAAATATATAAATAAAAGAATAAATATATAAATGAAAGAATAAATATATAAATAAAAGAATAAATATATAAATAAAAGAATAAATATATATTTAGTTTTTCCTTACACGAGTTTCCGTCAAGAAAAACAGATATTTTTGCTTTGTCTTTTTTTGCTTCTCCCTTTTCTGCTGCTGTTTTTCTGCTGCATCGTTATGCTAATGAGGAGAGCTGCTGTCTCCTACTGGCCAGTAGAGCTTTGGGACCAACATCACTGCGTCAGACGATGTGGGGCTTTAAGCTGCAGTCCTTCACTGCCATCTTTACAGGCCACAGACCAAAACAAACTTCATCCTGGTGGTTTTATTGTGTTACCCACTGCAGTGAAGTGAACCTCCGAGGCTTGACGAGGGAGCTGGAGAACAGCTGGCTGAAATTAGCGTTCATAAATCGGATCAACCTTGAGCTAAAGGCCTCTGGCTCGGCGGATATTATAATATCCAATATCCAACTCGAAACTAACTTCACTGCAGTCGGTAACACAATAAAACCACCAGGATGAAGTTTGTTTTGGCCTCTAAAGATGGAACCGAGCAACTGGACCTAAACGCCCCACGTCCGACGCAGTGACGTTGGTCCCAAAGCTCTACTGGCCAGTAGGAGACAGCAGCTCTCCTCATTAGCATAACGATGCAGCAGAAAAACAGCAGCAGAAAAGGGAGAAGCAAAAAAAGGCAAAGCAAAAATATCTGGTTTTCTTGACGGAAACTCATGTGTAAGGAAAAACTAAATATATATTTATGCTTTTATTTATATTTTTATTCTTTTATTTCTTATTATGTCGGTTTTGGTGCTCCATAATCTACCGTCAGAGAGGAGAGATGGAGAAGTTTGACAGTGAAAAGAAAAAACGGCATCAGAGGTCAGTAACGCAAGAATGACGAAGTTTAAAGTTTAAAGTTTAAAGTTTAATTCACACCAAGTCATCTGATCTCAAACTGGTTTCTAAACTGGGAGGATCATCAATAAACTGGATCTTAGACCATCAGAGCCACTGAAACCCCATCATCATCATCATCATCATCATCATCCTCATCACCATCATCATCCTCATCATCCTCAGCTGTTTCTGGTTCGCTGCAGCACCGACTCCCTATCTTCATCTGGTTTCTCAGTCAGAAATCGCCTCACTGACTGAACCTCACCTTCAGCAACAACCAGTAAAATGTTTCTCTCGGGCTACTCCCACCACTGCTGAGCTCAGCCAATGAGAAGGCTCGTCTCTGCACAGCTCAAAGCAGCTTGATGATGATGTTAGTTTTCCTTCTGCTGCAGTGGATCATCTCTGTTCAGCTGCTGTCTGACCTGAACTCCTGGAACATGTTGCTTTCCCTCCTGCTCTTCTCTCTCTACATAGGTGAGTATCAGAAGAGAGAAGCTCTGATTTTCTCTCTCTGAATTTCACTGCGACCACATGTGGAGGGAAGAGCCTCTGAGTCTCCTGATGCCTGAATCTGCTGCAGACTGACTGACATGAACCATCATTTTACAGCCATGGGCTCCATGAACACCGTCACACAGGAGCAGAGGGAACACGTCGCTTCAGAGGGAAGCCACACCGGTTTGAGCTGCGGATATGATGGTTCTATCTATAATGTCCAGTGGTACCGACAGCAGCAGGGATCCAGACCAGAGTTCCTGCTCTACATCACAGAGACGGGATCGATCCATCCAACTCGCTCCGATTTCTCAGCTGACATCGATAAAACTCAGAAACGAGGAAATCTGCTGATCTCCTCTGCTGCAGTGACAGACTCTGCTGTGTACTACTGCGCTGTGCAGCCCACAGTGACAGGAAACACCAGAACCCTGTACAAAAACCTGCAGTACTCCACAGCGGCCACTAGAGGGCCTCACTCCCTGTTAAACTACTAAAACCTGCAGTACTCCACAGCGGCCACTAGAGGGCCTCAGACTGTATTTCCTCAGGTTTCTCTGTAGAAACTTACTGAACTTCTTGACAAAGCTGCTCCTGCTCCAGTTTGTCCAGCAGATCTAAGTGAATGGGAGGAACCGTTCTAAGCTGCAGGTTGATGAGCATCTGGACGTCTGCTGGCCCCAACAAGCTGCCATGATGCACAGAAACTTAAGCCTCCAGACTTATTACCAAAATTAACTTTATTAAACTTGGTATTTAGAGTCTTTATTAATAATACCAATAATTAAAATTAAATCTATTTTGATTTTTTTCATCTAAAATTTAATGCAAACTGATGGTCTTTTGTTTATAATGTTTAATAAAGTTTAAACATAATCCAAGGTCTCTTAAAGTACTTAAGGCCATTTTTAATCAACATGTAAATAATGATTTAACATCGTTAGCCTCCTCTGTACTTGTATTGCTGTGTTCTTTATTTATCTCTTATTTACCATTTTGTATTTAAAATGGATTTATGTATCTGTGGTTTTATGGCTTGTATTTTCTGTGTTGCTGTTGTTGGGCAGATTTATCTTGAAAAAGATTTTTAATCTCAGTGAGATTTACCTGGTTTAATGAAACAGACAGAATGAAACAGAAGCACTCAACCTATTCTGTCATATGAGCTTCATGATAAATTATGTCCCATATTTAAATAAAGATCATTCTGAACTGTGAAAACTACATACAATAAATAAACCAGTAAATGATGTTTTATTCTGAACCATAAATTCTGATCATAGTTTTAATCTGTTAGCATGAAACAACGGCTGGTAAAAAGACGATGGCAGAGAGTTGTGATTGGCTCGTTACTCTAATCTAGCTCACTGGGGACAAAAGGACATTATTTATGATTTAAACATAAAAACTTCAACAGGTTCCTCTGAAGCCAGAAACGGATCAGCAGGTTTATAGAAGTTGTGTTAAAACATTTTGTCACAACTTCCCAATATTCCAGTGGATATTTTCTGTCTTCTTCCTCTCCTTGGGCTGCCACCTTATCGTGGTGGAGAGGTGTGAGTGTCCCAATGACCCCAGGAGCTATGGGGCTTAATGCCCCTGATGGGGTCACCCAAGGCAGACAGGTCCTAGGTGAGGGACCAGACAAAGTGCAGCCTGAAGACACCTATGATGAGTCATAACTTTGGATCTGGCGTTCCCTCGCCCGGACGCGGGTCACCGGGGCCCCCCTCTGGAGCCAGGCCTGGAGGTGGGGCACGATGCAAGCGCCTGGTGGCCGGGCTTGCACCCACGGAGCCCGGCCGGGCTCAGCCCGAAGAGAAGACGTGGGTCCCCCTTCCAACGGGCTCACCACCTGTAGGAGGGGCCAAAGGGGTCGGGTGCATTGTGCTACGGGCAGCAGCCGAAGGAGGGAACCCTGGCGGTCTGATCCCCGGCTTCAGAAGCTGGCTCTTGGGACGTGGAATGTCACCTCTCTGGTGGGGAAGGAACCGGAGCTAGTGTGCGAGGCTGAGAGGTTCCGGCTAGAAATAGTCGGCCTCACCTCGACGCATGGCT